GTGTCCAGTCTCTCCCACTGATGGACATTGTTATAGCTATGTATTAGCTGTCATGGAAGGTGGTCAGTTACCATTCTTGTTGTGTTTAAGTTGTTGAAGCTGAAGCGGTTTCTTTCCCTTCCACCAGACCATTTGTTGTAGTTTGTCTCTGCCAGGACACAAGCCCAGCTCCTTCTGTGCCCAGGAGAGCAGGGAGCCTGAGTGTGTCTCTAACCAGACACACCCGCTACAGATCACCCTCGGGAGGAGAGCGGACCTCGCCGGACCCCTTGTAATCCTCCTAATGCTATTGACTTTCGGCCCTCGCATTATTAACAGAATAGTCCAATTTGTCAAGAAGCATATAGGGGTGGTTCAGTTGATAGTTCTACACGCCCAGTACAGGCCTCTAGCAACGGTGAAACAGAAATGCAGTCCGTCTCATGATTGAGCCGGAAGTCTCAAGACAAGGGGGGAATAAAAGGGTGAGGGCTACGCCCTCCATCTTGACCCAGGGCGAGGGCTACGCTCTCCATCTTACCCCGGATCCTCCATTTTGGGGCAGCAGCCTTAGCCATGTGCTCGGCAAGGAGCTTCTTCCTGGAAGCCCAAGCCTCTGCTAGCCACACCTAGGATTTCTTTAAATTAACCAATTATAAACATCAGGAAATAGATTAGAGATTGCAGTTCAAAGTGACATGCAATAGCTTTTTAGCCTAATCTCACAGAGAAGTTCAGCGGTACCTAACCAATTAGATGAAGAAGGGGGAACAAGAATGTGAAACTCAGATACTCACCTGCTTTTTCTTCAAGTCTCTGAGGGCAGCAAAATCATCGGGGGAGTCAGAAGGAACACTTGTGACCACACCAGTGCCTGATAAAACAAAGTGTGAAACTGATTAATACAGCCAGATGTGATTACCACAGTATTTCTATAAAGAAATAAACTCTTTACCTTTATCCTCCTTAATGGTGAGCATTGGGAGAACATAAATCACCTTGTAAGATGTTAAAGGTGCAGAAAGTGATGCTCCAAGAATTTCCTGTGTAAGAAAAAGATCAGCATAAAAGGTGAAGAAACTTAACCAATAAAATTAAAAACAATGCTATTTTAAGCCCAAGAAGCTAGTAATCAAAAATATACGAAATAAAACAAAACTCACTCTTCTTTTACCAACTAGACCAAAAATAACTATAAATACCAATTAAGGTTGTAAGGAAATTAGTACACTGACACAGTGCTTTTGACATTGCACTCCTTGAGGAAAGTGACATAGGAATCCATAGCAGGAGCCATAAAAATGTTCACACAAGACCCAGAGATCCAATCCTATGAATTTACTTCAAAGTTAAAAAAAAAATAAAATGTTTTTCTCTGAGAAGTCTGCCCAATGCTGTGTTAACCTGGGAACAAATAAAACTTTATATAATAGAAAAATTATTTAATAAAATATAAGACTTCACAAAGCTAGAATACTGTATATCCATTTTAAATGATAATGGGAAGACAAATTGAATTAAAAAGATATATCTAGTTTCTCTTTTTTAAAAAATCAGAAAATCCAACAAGATTGGACCCATATACAATAAACGGCTTGTAGCTGCTTGTTTAGCTAAGGAATGAACTTTTCAATTACATACAGTTCCCACCCAACCCACTTTATTCATAGAGATAAGCTGATTTTACAGAATTTTCAGTGATGAAGGTTGAAAGCTATTTTTTTTAATATATTTTATTGATTTTTTACAGAGAGGAAGGGAGAGAGATAGAGAGCCAGGAATATCGATGAGAGAGAAACATCGATCAGCTGCCTCCTGCACACTCCCCACTGGAGATGTGCCCGCAACCAAGGTACATGCCCTTGACCGGAATCAAACTCGGGACCTCTCAGTCCGCAGGCCGACGCTCTATCCACTGAGCCAAACCGGTTTCGGCGAAAGCTATTTTTTTTAATATATCTTATCGATTTTTTACAGAGAGGAAGGGAGAGAGATAGAGAGCCAGGAATATCGATGAGAGAGAAACATCGATCAGCTACCTCCTGCACACTCCCCACTGGAGATGTGCCCGCAACCAAGGTACATGCCCTTGACCGGAATCAAACTCGGGACCTCTCAGTCCGCAGGCCGACGCTCTATCCACTGAGCCAAACCAGTGACGGCTGAAAGCTATTTTTTAATTTATACCACCCATTTCCTCACTCCAGAATCTGCTCAAATTAACATGGAAAGAAGTTGTATTAGAGACAGTTAAAAGTTTGTGTTATTAATACTGTTCCCAAAAACTGCTCAGACAGAATTCCAGCATCAGGTACTAATGAGACATAAACACTGCTTGGAACAGAAAAATACAGGAAACAATCCAAATATCCATTACAGAGAATGGTTAACTATACTGTAGAACAGCCAAATAGGAATACCTTTGCAGGAAGGGAGTGAGTTCTGACTGTGAAATGGACATAAGAGAACCTTCTGGAAAACTAAAATGTTTTATATTTCAATTTGGGCAATCCTTACATGAGTGTATACACATATGAAAATGCACCAAAAGAAAAGACTCTATTTACATATTTGATGATATGTATGCCTCAATTAAAAAGTCTTGTTTAATATGTTTTTCTCATGCTTCACTGTTAAAATTTTACCTCTAAATTCATGCACTACCCAACTTACCTCTCCCATTAATTCCTTAACTACAGGCACCACGCCACTGTCTTTGGTAAAGCCCTGGAATGACATATTCCTGGCAGCTCTTTGGGTGCAAATGAATATATCACCATTCTTTGTCTCAAACCCAATGTACTTCATATCAGGGCGAACCCAACAGTTTGTCTGTCCAAACATGGTCTCAGGTCTGAGAGTAGCAGCTACCAAAAAGATATTTTTCCCTTTCAGGCCACTAAAAAAAAAAAAAAAAGATACATTAAAGAAAAAAAAAGTTATGGATTTTACCACAAGTATCTGATATTCAAAAAGCTGAAACAATAACTGGCAAATCTACCTTAATTTGGATGGGTACGGCTCAAGCACTTTCAACTTGATTAAAGTATATTCCTGAGGTCCAACACCCTAAACAAGTAAAACAAAAATGGAGGGGGGAAAAGACTTGGATTAACATCATAATTAAAGGCTGATTTTGAAAAGCAGTCTCTAGACCAGCGTTCGCTAACCAGTGGTCCGCGAGGTCCGAAAGGTTGGCGACCGCTGCACCAGACTACAAATGTGTTCAAAAGTGGTAATAAACAATGACACACGAATTGGAATTCCTAAGTTCAGATCCTGGCATTGTTGGTTTACTATGCCAAGGCTTTAGACAAACCACTTACCCTTGCTTCACTCAAATATTACAAAAAATAATGTCACTAATGTGTCCTACAGGCGTGTAGGGTGAACTGACGTCATGTAAGCAAGTAGGCACACAGCCAACGCAAGTGTAAATGGAACCTGTGTACATCAGTCAGCCACGTATCTCATTACCTTTCCCCATGCCCTTGTTTCAGAGCAGAGCATTCTCCAGGCAGTGCTTCTCAAACATTCGCATGCATATGACTCACACTGAGAGTCTGTTAAAAGACAGATTCCTGGGCCCATCCCCAGAGTTTGTAATTTAACAATTTTGGGGTGAGGCTCAAAATTCCTTTTCTATCACAAGCTGACGCAGCTGGTCCAGGACCACTCTTGGAGTAGCAAGGTCCTAGACAAGATCCAGGCACCTAGAATGACATTCTGTCTCCCTCTTCACAGCCCCCAGAGTATCACAACTATAGACCTCAGCACTGAAATAAAGTTACCTTTTAGGTTTCTGATCTATTTCTTAAACTCTATGACCATATGAAGAATTATCACAAATAAGTACCTCTCCAGTTTGTCTGTCATGATCCATACAAGGCTGTCCATCTTTTGGAGAATAAATGGTATACCTAAAAAATAAGCAAGTGACAAATACTGCTGTAATATACAACTTTTAGCCTAAATATTTAGTATTGCTCCAACAATATTTCTTCTAACTAAAACTTCTAACTGAGCAAATGTCTACATCTATTAATTATGCTTTTATGGTAGTTCTATTGTCAATCTAGTTATTTAATGAAAGATCTCTGCCTTCATCAAAAAATATTAAACATTTAAATTCACTTATGAAATGCAAATAGCTTTTAATTAACTCACATAATCAAGGAAGAATCCTAAACAATTTGTAGAACAAAAGAATAAACTAAAACACAAATGCAATTATTATTTTTCTGTTTGGCTGGTACTACTGAACAGAATCTTTTGTGAGATCATAAAAGCCAACACTCCCATTCTCCCTGGTTCTAGTTGTCATAAACAATAAGCAGCTCAGAGAAATTAAGACACTGGCAAGACAAAAACAAACCCAAGGACACAGGAGAACAAAAAGAAAGAAAACATAAAAAAAACAAAGGTAATAGAGAAACGTGGGCTATGGGGCACCGAATTATAATACAAGAATTATATGATTTTTGCTTTTTTATACCGAGGGACAACAAACTCACCGTTTTCCAAATTTAATTCTGCTTCTTTCTCTTAATGTTAAAAACTGCCACCTGACAAACGAATCATAGTAAGGATTAACATCAGTGGTGATGAAGGAACGACGCCAGTCTACCTATAGAAGGAGAAAGGAAAAGGTAATTTTTGAGAGTTCTGTCTCTATGAATGAGAATTCCTATGAATCAATTATTTACTCTTCTACTCTATCTTCCAACTAAGAATTATATCAAATTTTAAAAACAAAATTGTTAAGTTCTGCCTATTAAATATATATCACAATTATTACATTAATTTTTGTTTAATATGTGTACTTTTAAACACACACATTTATACATTAAACATACAAGAATTATAATAAGTTAAAAAGGAACACTTAGCCCTAGCCAGCTTGGCTCAGTGGATAGAGCATCAGCCTGCGGACTGAAGGGTTCCAGGTTCGATTCCAGCCAAGGGCACATGCCTGGGTTGCAGGCTTGGTTCCCAATGTGGGGTGTGCAGGAGGCATCCGATCAATGATTCTCTCCCATCATGGATATTTCTCTCTCCTTCTCATTCTCCCTCCATCTCTAATCACATAAATATAAACGTGTTCTTCATATTTTCTTCAGCTACGGAGGCGATAGGCATACCTTCAAACCCATTCTCTTCAGATCTTGAATAGCCAGTGGCGGGAAATAATCAAGCCAATGTTCTGCTGCAGAAAATTTGGCTATTTCTTCATCAGCCAGACCGAGAGATTTCATAATGCTCCACTGGTATTTAGAAGATCCAGCTTTAGCAGCAGCTTTACTCTGAAAATAACCAGCAAAAACATATTCCATCAAAGAACAACCAACAACTTGTTAATAAATTCTAGGATCAAATTACCATTTGGTAATTTTTTAAAGTGCAAAACAATGCTGTTGATATGTCGGAACCACAAAGAACTATCATCACAAACATAAGATGTCAACATCAAACCTTCTCTATTTCCCTCTCCCAATACCACTTACATCTTTTTTTAGCTATGACAGCTTAGATCATACAAGAGTTTACTATTTTCCAATCTTTACCAATATCAAAAAGGCAACCAAAAGCCAGGAGTTGGAAATAGGCAAAGAAGTTGAACTATAAAAAGGTAGGACCAGGAATTGGGAGGGGATGGAACTACTCCAAATGGTGTGACAGTGGCAGAAACAGAGCTCCATGCATCTATCAAACCAACACAACTACACAGCACAAAGGGTGTGTGTTTTTTTAAAAATGTCCATCTTTAAGATCATTTTATCATGCCCTCTAGTTAGTAAAAAGTTCATTTTAATTTCTGACTAATATTCGGTCTCCACATGGCTTTTCTTTTATATCCTTAGTTATAGGACTTGTGTTCAGCAAGTCTAAAGGATGCTCTCAAGGGTGGTGGATATATAATTTAGTTATAATTTTGATGTGGTCATGGGAGGATGCAAGCATAGCATTTACCTACTCCGCCATCTTGACCAGAAGTCCAGGAGTGAATTAAAAAAAAAAAATCAGAATGTTGGAGGAACCCAGGATGGAATGCAGAGTATAACAAATATATCTAATTATATTATAAACGCATGACATAACCACTCAAAAGGGAATGGGGAAAAAAGGAGCTATGGAAGTAACTTTGAAAAACAGTGCGTTGCGCTGAATAGTGTTGCTCAGTGGTTGGAGCATCAGCCCTAGTACCAAAGGATCTTGGGTTCGATTCCCAGTCCAGGGCATGTACCTGGGTTACAGGTTCAATCCCCAGCCCCATTCAGGGAGGGATGCGACTAATAATGTGCCTCTTTCATATCAATGTCTCTCTCTCAATCTCTATTACTATCACATTATAATTGAGATGATCATTTTAAATGTGAAGTTCTTGCTTAAAATGTGATTTTAGAGTGTAAGAATCAATCAATTAGTTAAAATTCCCCATCGTCTCTCTCTTTTACACTCTCTAAAAATCAATGGAAAAAATATCCTCAAATGAGGATTAACCAAAAAAAAATTTTTTTCAATTTAAAAAAAAAAGAAAACCAGTGTGTCATCTAAAAGACAAAAAGAATTATATACAAACACTGCCCTTAAGTTAGTAAAATTATTTCTCCCAGGATTATAGGTTAACAATTCTGAAACTAGTGGTACACTAGGACTGAACAGAAAATAAATATTCTGCAAATAATGAGTCAGGTTTCTCATTATTGAAGAAAAAAGTTACAAAAAAGAAAAGGGAGAACAGAATGAGTCCCATGATGCTATAATGGAGCCAGGGTATCATGAACTTTCTAAAAATATATATACTGCGCTAGTACTTGGAATGAATATACAAATCACACAAACATCAATATAAAACTTCAACCAAAATAAGTATCATCAACCACCAAACCTTTTTTCCTTTAGCTTTATCCTTAATTATTGCATCTTCTGTTTTAGCACTGACTTCTTCCTCTTCTTCTTCTTCTTCTGGAAAATCAGGGGGGCAACCATAGAGCTCTATTTCTCTTTTCAACTTATCAGCACAGGCCTAAGCAAACACAACATTAGAGACAGTGAAGTTCAGAATTCAAGGTAGAAATAATCTGGGGGGTTTTCTTCTATGGCCCACTAAAATTGACTCTAAAATTTTCTGCAATATATCTATATATATAAGTGGATCATAACAGAAAACCCAAATGATACAAAATTCCCCAATTTATAAATTAGTATTACTTCCTTTACTCAGCAAGCATTTATTTAACACCTCAAGTACTTAATGTAGTATATTACATGTTAGGCATTCGAAGTACAGGGATTTGTAAGATATGATGTGTAATTATTTTGAATAACAACATCATTAATAGCATTTCTCAATTTAATGATTGTCATATATACTCATTAGTTATCATCCCAGCAGGTACGAAGTCAGAAAAGAGAGAGAGAGATTAAGTGATTTATCCAAACTTATAAAGCTACTAAGCTGCAAAGCTGACACATGAATCTGGGCTTTCCACCCCAGTTCTCCTCAATTATACCATAAGGAGTTCAGTGTCAAAAACAAAGATGACTCCAAGTAGATAGTGTTAAAGTTATGAAAAAATACAAATATAGAATTGTGAATTTTAAAAAGGGAATTCACTCTTTTATACGGAAGAATTTCAGTTAATAAATGAGGAAAGAATGGGTTATTGAGAACCGGATATTTAAAGGCTCTCAAAGCATTATTTGCCCCCTCACCCACAGATTACTTTTAATTAAAAAGGGGAAAAGTCATCTTTAGGATGAAGAAATCTGACAGGTATTAACTTAATGTCACTAAAATGGGACAAACTGCCTTTTGATGTGATACAATGGAAAGTTTATACCTCACCAGTGTAGTATTCGGGTCAAAATATTTAACCCAAATCTAATCATGAAAAACAATAAAAATAAAAATAAATTTCACCCTGGCCAGTTTGGCTCAATGGATAGAGCATCGGCCTGAGGACTGAAGGGTCCCTGGTTCAATTCCGGTCAAGGGCACATGCCCGGGTTACGGGCTCAATCCCCAGTAGGGGATGTGAGGGAGGCAGCCGATCAATGATTCTCATCATTGATGTTTCTGTCTCTCTCTCTCCCTCTCCATTCCTCTCTGAAATCAATAAAAATATATTAAAAAACAAAAACAAAAAACTCAGATTATGGGATATTCTGTAAAATAACTGGCCTAGATTCTTCAAAGACATCAATGCTGTAACAAACTAAAGAGAATTGATCATGAAATGCACTGTGTGATCCATAAAATAAAAAGTAAAAATAGCCAGAAAGAACATTTTGAGACAATTAGAGACATACAACTATAGATTAGATCACGATGATAATATGACATCAATGTTAAATTTCTCCGAGAGGATGTTACTGTGATAAAGTAGAGGAATGCTCTTATTTTAAAGGATTATGCTGAAGTATTGAGGGGTGACATGTCATAATGCCTGCAACTTATTTACTTTCAAAGAATTCATAGAAAAGGCAAAAAAAAAAGCATACGTGTACTGTGTGTGTTGAGAGACAGAACTAAATTATGGAAAGTACTAAGACTTGCCCTAGCTGGTTTGGCTCAGTGGATAGAGCATCGGCCTGCAGTTGGAAGGGTCCCAGGTTCGAGGGCATATGCCCGGGTTGTGGGCTCTATCCCCAGTAGGGGGCGTGCAGGAGGCAACCGATCAATGTTTCTACCTCATCATTGATGTTTCTATCTCTCTGTCCCGCTCCCTTCCTCTCTGAAATCAATAAAAAAAAAAATTTTTTAAAAAAAAGAAAACAACTATAGCCGTAGCCAGTTTGGTTCAGTGGATTGAGCGTTGGCCTGCGGACTGAAAGGTCCTGGGTTCGATTCTGGTCAAGAGCACAGGCCCAGGTTGCGGGCTTGATCCCCAGTAGGGGGTGTGCAGGAAGCAGCCAGTCAATGATTCTCTCTCATCATTGATGTTTCTCTCTCTCTCCCTCTCCCTTCCTCTCTGAAATCAATAAAAATATTTACAGAAAAAAAATAAGACTTGGCAACTATAAGTGAAGGCTGTATGGGTGTTCACTGTACTATGCTTTTACTTTTTCTGTAGGTTTGATGTTTTTCAAAATAAAAGGGTGAAGAATAAAAAAAAATCTGAGTTAAATTTTCCAACCCTACATTTGGGAATCTTTCAACTCTAGTTTTCTGGCCCATTCTTTATTGAGAATTATTTCTAGTATAAACTTATGACAAATGAAGTCATTTGAAAAAATGATCAAAATAGGGTAGAAGTGTTTATTACTTTGTGCCAACATCCTATATGTGTCATGAATGCTCAAAACACTGCGCATTTTACTTGGCAGTAGTTATAATATACTTCTAAAACAGAAATATGAGTATATAGGATGATCAAACACTATCAAAAATTACTTAGAAATCACAAATCTTAATGTGTGCCCTTTATTTAAGGACTTCTTGAACTGTTTTTTTAATGTAATTTTCACTATAATAAATTCATTTCAAAAAAACACTGTAATAGAGCAGTATTTTTTAATCCCTTTTCAAGCTATTGAACTAGATATTTCTATTTGCTCTAAGCCAAAAAGGGTAGAAACCAATCCCAAAAGCAATCTTACCTTAATAGGCATTCCAGTACAGTGTAAACCAAAGGGGAACAGACAAATGTTTCCTTTCAATCTCTGGTACCCTACTGCAAACTATAGGAAGAAAATTACATTTAAATTACAAATTTAAATGCCAGGTGAACAGAAAATGCTGACTTTTCACAAAGAGCATCAGTTCAGTTTTCCTCTTCACATCCTCCTTTAACACACCAGCTAAATTGTATAATCATCCCAAAGTTTTAACCCACCTTTTTGTGTCTTTTCACCAACCTAGAAATTACTTGTGAACATACATACCTAAACCTCTGCACACATAATATATGAAAATTAAATATAAAAATTAAATGACTTAAATATAAAAAATATGCTTAAAATTAAGGAAGTCTAAGTTCCCTTACCAGGAAATAAATTCTATAAATATCATTCTCTTCAAATTAGTACTTATTAAAGACCCACCAGCCCATTATATTAAACAGAGGAAGCTTTACCTCACATTTGGATAAAGAAAATGTGTGTCCCAAATGAAGGCGCCCGTTCATGTATGGATATGGGAAGGTGACAAAGTACTTGCCCTTGCTGCAAAACAATCATATGAAAAAGGAAATACAGACAGGAAAATGTTAGATTCCTTTTACAATGAAGGAGTATGGTGAAGGGAATGCTTGCTATAACTAATTTGTTCAAACTTTAGTTATTTAAAATTAAATTTATAAACCCCCAAGTTAAAAGATCTCTAAAATTAAAACTTACTTTTGAAAGAATAAAACATTTGTAGGTGGCTATTAAGAAATAAATATACTGCCCTGGCCAGGTAGCTCAGTTGGTTAGAGCGGCATCCGATACACCAAGGTTCAGGTGGGCTCCCCGGTCAGGGCACATATAAGAACCAACCCATGAATGCATAAATAAGTGGAACAACAAATCGATGTTTCTCTTTCTCTCTTCCTCTCTCTCTCTTAAGTAATTTTTCAAAGAAATAAATATACTTGTAGGTTTAACTTAAACTAAAATGCTTTATAAAGATAAAATGCTAAATATTAAATTTTTTAAGACTTAGGGATCTGAATAAATTTAATGTTTTACTGATTAAGTTAAATTTGTTTTTACAAGATATATATAAAGCAATTCAAAGTCCTCACGTAAAATAAAACATCCTCAGTATTGCATGATATGTTGTAAATTCATTTAAAAAGCACCTTTTAAAGCTAACATTTACTATGCTATATTCTTTTTTCAAGTGTTATCTAACATACATAAGTTATGAAGCACAATAAAATGAACACCTATAAACCACCGTCCAACTTTTGAACCCACTTAAGCTACCTTTGTGTTCCTCCCCACTTCTCACCAGAAATAACCATTACCATGAAATTCACTTTTTCATTTCCTTGTTTTAAAATAGTTTGTACCTAAGTCTGTGCCTTTAAACAATGTGTCATTTAGTTTCACTCATATTTTTGAATAGTTCATACCTAAGTCTGTATCTAAGTCTGTGCCCTTAAACTTTGTATTATTTACAAAACATGAGTTTTGAAGTTTGTACCTAAGTCTGTGCCCTTAAACAACGTATCATCTCGTTTCCCTTACTAGTGAGCTTTATAAAAAATGGCGTATTTTATAGACTTCTGCAATTTGCTTTTTTCCACTCAGTGTGCTATGTCTAAGTTCCTTCAACATTCCTGTACATAGCTGTAGTTCATTTTCTTTCACTGAACATAGCAGCTTTGTCAGTTCGCTTTGGATTACTTAAATTACCTTAAATTTGACCAAAATCCTAGAACCAAATAGAAACTTCAAATTATAAAGTATAACACCAGAGACTTCATATTACAGCAAACTCTTTTTCTCTTAAAAAAAAAAAAAAAAAAAAAAAAAGACTTGCCCGGCTGGCGTAGCTCAGTGGTTAAGCACCGACCTATGAACCAGGAGGTGACAGTTTGATTCCTGGTCAGGGCACATGCCTGGGTTGCAGTCTCAGTCCCCAGTGCGGGACATGCAGAAGGCAGCCAATCGATGATTTTCATCATTAATGTTTCTCTCTCTCTTTCCTTTTCCCTTCCTCTCTGAAATCAATAAAAATATATTTTTTAAAAAAACACAAAAACTTCTGATAGAGTGTAGCTTAATAGAAAGGAGGACCGACTTTGGAATCAGAAAGTCCTGAACAGAAGTCCAGGCCTGAAATTGAGATGCGTCTTATAATTGACACATATATTTACTGTAATACTATTTGGGGACAGTTATTTTGTTTTTATTTTTCCTCAATATCACATCATTATCTATGGTTTGTCTTATTATCAGTGATTATTAACATCAAGGCAGTCCAGTATTTATGAAATAAGATCTTCTAATACAGAAACCTTTCAAATTTTATATTTTGCATCTGTGAAGATAATTATCACTACAATATGAACCTCTCTAATAGAAGGATTTCCTTTTACCAGTCAGCAAAGATAAAACTTCAAAACATCCCTTTGGTTTGAACATGAAAAGCTAGTTTTTGAAAAACTCTTCATGTAGAAAAAAATCCTTTAAGAAAGAAGATCCTACTTTTAAATGCAGGAAATGGAAGTCACCTTCTTCAGTCCACCTCAGACATTCTAAACACACTCTGCCCATTGTTTTCCACAGAGCAGTTCCTGTGCTACGAAACACAATGTGCGGAACTTCACCAACTATCACTCACCTAGTCTGCTTCTCTGAATTAGATGCATTGACCTCAAATACTTTCTCGGTGTCCCATTTCTGTTGGATTTCTTTCTCAATCTTCTTCAAGAAGTCCACTTTGGCTGTGCCCTTTCTTTCCTATTAGACACAAAAGAGATAGGATAACCCACTCTGTACTTCAACAGACTTGCTTTAAAAAAAAAAGGGGTTCACACAGAACTGAGCTGTTTACTGACAGATCAATTTTTATTTTTCCATGGTTATCTCCTAACTTAAATAAACCAGATAGAAAATTAGGGTTAACACGACCTGTATACCTCAAACCTCAAACGAGTGGTTTAAGAATTACTCAAAAGGCTTTGAAATACTTTTCAAAAATTAGGTACTGTAACAAAACACTGTTGTCAAATGTTCCTATTCACAAAATATATAAATTCAGGGGTGGACAAAAGTAGGTTTACAGTCATTCATATGGAAAATGATACACTAATTAATAAGTAATAATACAAAAATAAACTCTGGCTAAGTAGCTCAGTTGGTTAGAGTGTCCCCGATATGCCAGGGTTGTACTAGTAAGTTTGCTCTCTGGTCAGAACACATACAAGAATCAACCAAGGAATACATAAATAAATGGAACAACAAATCAATGTTCCTCTCTCTCCTCTCTCTTTCTCTCTCCCTTCCTCTCTCCCTCCCTCCCCCATCCTGTCTCTTTCAAATCAATCAATAAAATAATAATAATAATAATAATAATAATAAATAAACTCTGTGGTTTCACATACTGACAACTGTAAACCTGCTTTTTCCCCACCCTGCACTTATAAAGTGCCTGCTTGCCAAGGTGCAATCATACCCAGCAAAGGAGGATGTTCAGACCCAAGGGATAGAGGTGGCATGGTCTTTGGGCGAAGCGGGGGCGGGGGGGGCAGGGGGGCAGGCATGGTCTTTTTTTTCTTTTTGACATGGTCTCTCTCTGTTTTTCAAGGAATCTGATGAAGAACTTCTCTCCAAAATGGTTATCAGACTATTAATATGAAATTAAAATGAAACAGAGAATGGCACGCATGTCTCGTATGTTGGGTCTACCTGTCAACATTCCTATCATTCTGTAAGCCACCCTTGGATGAAAGTGACAAAACATGCATGATCACTCTACCTGTAAAGAAAGAAGGGTAAGCGATTCATTCTCAGTGTGTGACTCTGTTGCAAAGAATGAGCTGCTAATAGTAAGTGTGGAGTAGGACACACTTCGGAAATAGGCGGGGTGAAATCTGGACACCAATGGACCATACACAAATCTAAGTCTGTTTTGAAACTTAATATATTTTCTGGTATAAAATTATCTGAACTGAAATTAGATTTTCTTCCCCCTCCTACCTGCTAACAATTCCAGATTCTGTAGCATTTTCAAATGAGGAAATACCTGGGTTCTACTCATACTTCTATAGCCCACTAGACAGGTGACCTTGCCAAGCCACCTGGTCTCCTTTGATTGTGCCCTCCGCCTGTCCCTTCTACCCAACAATTTAAAAAGCACTTCCTATTCACATCACAGATGCACCGGATTCTTACAACTGTTTTTCTAAAAAATTTGAAGTATTATACAAAGGAATTCCAGGCAATAAAAAAAGTACCATTATCTTCCCAATAACTATGTTAAATAGACCTTGTATATTATGTAATAATGAAAACTAGTAGTATTAAAATTAGGTAAGATTCAGTACAAATATACCATAAAAAATGTGTCACCTCTATTTTACTATTTTCAATTTTCTCTAGTTTAAATTATTTTTAAGCAAGTGCAAAAGAAGTACAAGCAACCGAAAGATGAAATGTCAGCTTATAAAGAAGAGATAAAATGTGGATTAAAAGAACCCTGTCACGTCCTAGCTGGTTTGACTCAGTGGATACAGCATCGGCCTGTGGACTGAAGGGTCCCGGGTTCAATTCCGGTCAAGGGCACATGCCCAGGTTGCAGACTCGATCCCCAATAGGGGGCGTGCAGAAGGCAGCCAGTCAATAATTCTCTCTCATCATTGATTTATCTCTCTCTCTCCCTCTCCCTTCCTCTCTGAAATCAATAAAAACGTATTTTTTTTAAAAGAACCCTGTCACAAAGGCAAAGAGGAGATGAGAAAGACTCCATAATTTGAAAAATCATGGACATATAACAAGTTTATCTAGGAACCAAAGGAAAATGACATTTTTTGTTTCTATAAATCCTGACCAGATCATAATTGCTGCGACTGGAACCACATCATATCAACACACAAATCTGACCAAGTCAATCCCCCTTTAGAGGTTCTCTATGCTTCAGGATAAAGTCCATCCCTACTCTTAAATCTGGCATTCAAGGCCCTGCTTGCTCATATCTGCCAGGCCTCTCCCATTTCCCCTCTCTCCATGCTTCCATCTTCACAGGCCTATTAAGCCATCTGCATTTTCCCAAATACGCCAAGGTCCCTCTCTCATCTCTAGGCCTGTGTTCAAACTATTCCTCTGCCCTCATACCCCACCAATCAACCTCTTTGCCTGGCCATGTCACCCTCCAGGTCTCAGCTAATCACCGGCCTGGATTCTCCACTGAGAAGCCATTCTGAATATGGTCCTACCCACCCATATTTCCCCTGTGACAGCCCTAATCGCATAGCGATGTCAGGATCTGGCCATCTTTCCCACGGGACTGTAAGCTTGTTCTTGGTGGGGACCATATGTCTTGTTTCTCATTTTATCTTCAATGTCTAGCTTATAGCAAGGCTCTCAAATATTTGTTGAATATATAAAGATTTTTAAAGAGAAGCGAATAACACATTGCCTGTTTTTACATAATGTGGCCATTAAAAAAAAAAAAAGATGGACGAGGAACTGGGTTGCATATTTGAATCAAGGTGCTAAGCAATTTGGACTCTTTGCCAAGAATTTCCATAAAACATTGTGGTTACAGAAAGTATTTCCTTTTCCAAGAAAAAATAAGGCACTTTCCGTTCCTGCTACGAACCACCTTCATTTAGACCTTAGATCCTTTGGGCCCCTTCTTACTGCAAAACCCTCTTTTAACAAGTAACCTGCTTCCAATCTCTCTATTCCAATATATGCTAACCCCTGTCGTCAATTCTAATATACAAAAACTACCATTTTAAAATGAGCTATGGCAGACCCTGGCCAGGGCGCTCAGTTGGTTAGAGCATCATCCAGATATGCCAAGACTGTGGGTTTGATAACCAGCCAGGGCACATACAAAATAAGTGAAACAACAAATTGATCTCTCTCCCTCTCCCTCTCAAATCAATTTTTTTTTAATTTTTAAATGAGCTATGGCAGAGACAGCCGGTAGCCTATGCAATCTATGTTCCTTCCCTTTCTCATTCAGCAACAAAAACCCAGTCTTACGCAGGGTGGTGCAGCAGAAGTGGTTAAGTGTCCTCTGCTGGTTAAATGGTTAAGTATCCTTTCCAGATGAATTCGAAGTTAGATGGAGCTATGTGACTAGGTTCTGGCAAAAGTGTTTTGGGGAGAAAAAAGTAAGTCACTTCCACCCGGGCCTTAAAACAGCCTGTATAACTAACTCTTAGTAGCCGACTTACCCTGCAGGTAGAGTAGGCACAGTGCTGAGGGCCCACTTACTAAAATATTTAGGGACTCAGAAAAATATTTTATTTTAAAATCAAGAAAAAAAATAGCCCTAGCTGGCTTGGCTCTGTAGACAAAGCGTGAGCCTGCGGACTGAAGGGTCTCAGGTTCGATTCAGGTTAAGGGCACGTGCCCTGGTTGTGGGCTTGATCCCCAATAGGGAGTGTGCAGGAGGCAGCCAATCAATGATTCTCTCTCATCATTGATGTTTCTATCTCTCCCTCTCCCTTCCTCTCTGAAATCAATAAAAATATATTTAAAAAATAATAAAAAAATAAACTTTTAGGTTTAAGGAAAAACTTTAATATATAACATTAATATATTTGTCTTTATGCCAAAATAGTTGTAAAACGTAATTTTAATCTTTTTTACAGAGAAAGGAGCCCACAAAGCTGAAAGTATCTAGGGCCTCAAAAAGCCTAGCTGTACCTTCTACTCTAGGGGTATGGGTTATAGGAAATCCCACTGTGTTCTTACTAAATTCCTCTTTACCTTAACCAACTTGAGTTCACTTCCATTGCATGCCACCAAATGATCCTTAAGACATTCACCCAGGGAGGCTATGAACTCCTGGCAGGCAGCAACTTTTAGATCTACTTACTCAGCACCGAATACAATGCCACAGACACAGAAGTTACATGACAAATATTTTTTGCTTAAAAATAACCATGAAAGCACTAGTTAGAACTATGTTTCTAAAGAACATGAAAGCAATAGTCCTCACAAAATACTTAGAACTATATTTCTTTCATGTAGAAAGAATGCTAGGTGCACAAAAGCTCTTCTTTGAGGTTTCTGCTTCTCAGAAAAACTTGTTCCTCAAATCTCAAAGGCTGATTGTCATGAAATCTGATATTGGCTCTAGCACCAACTTGCATAAACTTGAGGAAGTCACTTGATCAATCCAAACCTCAATTTCTTCACTGGTTATTCAACTAGGCAATTGGTTGTTTTAATTAGTTAAAAGGTTATTTAACTAGATGGATGCTCCAACACTTTGGCACTATTGATATTTTGGGCAAAATTCTTTGTTCACAGGGGCTGCCCTGTGCACTGTAGGATGTTCATGAGCACCTCTGGCTTCTGCCCACTAGACACCAGTAGCACAACCCCCTCAACTGTGACAACCAAGAGTCTCCAGACCAAATGTTTTCTGGGAGACAAAATCACCCCCAGTAAAGAAACACTAAATTAGATAATAAACTTTTTCCTATATTCATAGTATTCTGCAGTTCTTAAAACACTTTTATGAACACTGGTTTATTTGATGTTAACAACCTAACAAGTGGGCAGCCCACGATTACCATTTCAAAGATAATGAATCGCAAGCCGATCATCATGCTGGTAGAACCCTGGCTGTAGAACTTACTAGCTGTAGAACCCTGGACAAGTTCCTTAATCTTTTTTTTTATTATTATTATCTTTAAATATATTTTATTGATTTTCCACAGAGAGGAAGGGAGAGAGACAGAGAGTCAGAAACATCGATGAGAGAGAAACATTGATCAGCCGCCTCCTGCACATCCCCCACTGGGGACGTGCCCGCAACCCAGGCACATGCCCCTGAACGGAATCGAACCCGGGACCCTTCAGTCCGCAGGCCGACGCTCCATCCACTGAGCCAAACCGGTTTCCGCAAGTTCCTTAATCTTTTTAAGCCTGCATTTCTCCATCTATAAAATAAAGATAATAATTATACCTACCTTGTTTATTATTATGAGAATTAAAAGAGAAAATTATTATTATGAGAATTAAAAGAGAAAATACACACGAAGGACTTACCATAGTGCTGGACCCATGGCAAATGCTCAAAAATGTTTATTATCACAGACAACTAGACATCTTGTACTTTTTATTAGGTTTGAAAAAGGTATGTACAAACTTAAATGTACATACCGTCCAGTACACTAGCCACTTGCCACACATGACTGTAATTTTTAAATTCCATTAAAATTCAGTCCTTCCATTGCACTAGCCACATTTCAAATGATCAATAGCCACATGTGGCCAGTGGCTACCAAATATGACAGTGCAAAAGTTCTATGGACAGCTGTCCTAGACAATTGTTTCGTACCTTCTCCTCCCTCCTCAAACCCCCAACACGTCCTCTCCCATCCTTATTTTTAGGTGATAATCTTGGCTCCTAATTCAATGAGAAAAGAGAAGTGAAGAGGAAATCTCCACAGCCTCCCTCATCACATCTACCAACCCACATGCATCTGTACCCATATATTCTGCCGTCTTTCCTGGTACTACAGATGAATGCAGTCCTATTTAACCTACCCACTGAGGCACTTTATCTCATGCCCCCTGTTCTATTCAGGAGCACCACTCCAGCAATCATCTCTCTTATGCACCCATTTTTCCTTTCTACAGGATAATTCTCATGAGCATAGAAGCACTGTATAATTTCTCCTATCTTAAAAAAAAAAGCCCTCTTTTAACCTTCATCTATTTCCACTTCCCTTTATAGACTTCCTCAAGTGTTATCCACACTCATTATCTCCAGTCCCTCTCTGGACATTCTTTCTGGAACCCACTCTGCAAGCAGCAACCTACCAGGCCTTATTATGACCTACATCAACCCACTGATAAGCCTAGCCCTCTACACAAACACACATCCATCATCATCATCATCTCCCCCTGGACCCCTGTCCTTTAGACATACAATCCTCCTTACTTTTCACGCTCATGGTTGCCTCTGCCTGGAAATCTTTTCCCCCACACATGTAGTTGCATGGCTTGCTCCCTACCTCCTTTTTGCCACAATGCCACCTTCTCAACAAAGCCTTTCTTGGTCAACTTTCTAACATTGCAACCCTCCCCCACCCATACTCCCTAGTCCCGCTTCCAGCTCTAGTTTTTTCTTTAGCACTTATCAACACCTGACATGTCACACCATGTGTTTTAGCAGGTAGCCCACACACATATAAGCAACACCAATGCAGTCATTTCTGTCTGTTAACCGGGATGCGCTCAATTTTTTGTTGAAAGGAGGAATCAATGTTACAACCTCCTCTCTCCAAATCGGTTTTAGAAACTCAGGTGCAGTAACACACATGACATTAAATAGTCTGTAAAGGGAAAGACATCAGTTCCTGCCTCATCCGCTAACAAGAAAGGGCACATCCTCACAGCAGCCACGCCTCAAGCTTTGAGGGCAAGTCTTCCCCTTTCTTTAGAATAAAGGATTTTCCCTGCAGGACAGTGGCTACCACATGGAGCCTCTAGTTTTTGCAAAACACACAGATGAGCCGGTTCTAGGCCCCAGCCTAGCTCTCTTCCCACAAAAACTCACCGCCATGGCGCTGCCCAGCCGACAGTGCAAACCAACGACCTCGGTGATCACCCTCAAAGGAGTAGTTACAACCTTTCACCCTTCCTACCGGGACACCCAAGCCTCTCAAGACACTGAAGCACACCACGCCTGCTGAGGCAATCACCAGCTCACTATTAACTACAACCGGGTGCATCTCGTAGCCTGCCGGGAATTGTAGTTCCAAAGCACCTAGAGCCCAAATCCAGCAGGCACTTGTTGACTACAATTCCCAGGTAGCAACGGGATACCGGAAGTTGACTCGACAGGCCACTCAGAGGTGACACTGGTAGTGATGTCACGTGCACGTTGAACTACAACGTCCACAATGCAGTTCGGAACCGCAGATGGCCGCCAGCGCGCGCTGAGGTAAAGTCCCCAGCCTTCAACCTTTTCACCCCGCAGAGCTGTCTGGGTGTCTGTCAAAATGCCAGGATGCAAAGTTAATTCAACTTTCAGTGACAGGTGCTAATGAAGGCTTGCCACTGTGCATGGATATTTATTACTGTCGGTGGTATTCAACAGCCCAGAATTTAGACATTTTATAACCATTTATTAACAATCTCCACTTTTAAGAGAGAGGCTGGTAACATACCTGGTCTCAGTGCCAATCTCAGACTATTTCAACTGGGCTACCATTCAAGGTTGAGCTGTCTGATGCAGTAGTCACTAGCTACATGTGGCTATTTAAATTTAACAATTTAAATTAAATTAAAATTAGGTTCTTCGGTCGCACTAGCCACTTTTCAAGCTCTCCGTAGTTTATGTGGCTAGTGTTTACCATGTCATCAGTCACTGAGGAAATAGAACATTTCCATCATCGAAGAAAGATCTGTTTTAAAAAGTGACTCCATTCCCTCTGGTCGGGTAGCTCAGTTGGTTGGAGCTTCGCCCTGATGCACCAAGTTTGCAGGTGCAATCTCGGTCAGGGCTCACACAAGAAGGAACCAATGAATCCATAAATAAGTGAAACAAGAATCAACGTCTTTGCCCTGGCCGGTTTGGCTCGGTGGATGGAGCATCGGCCTGCACCAAAGGGTCCCAGGTTCGATTCCAGCCAAGGGCAGGTGCCTGGGTTGCGGGCTCAATCCCCAGTGGGGGGCATGCAGGAAGCAGCCAATCAATGATTCTCTCTTATCATTGATGTTTCTATCTATCTCTCCCTCTTCCTTCCTCTCTGAAATCAATAAAGAAATATATTTTTAAAAAGAATCAATGTTTCTCTCGCTCGCTTGCTTGCTCTCCTTACCTCTCTCAAATCAATTTTTTTTATAAAAGATGTTTCCACCAGGCCTGTGTGGCTCAATGGTTGAGTGTCGACCTATGAACTAGCCAGAGCACATGCCCAGGTTGCGGACTCAATCCCCAGCGTGGGGAATTCGGGAAACAGCCGACCAATGATCGTCGCTCATCATAGATATCTCTCTCTCTCTCTCTCTCTCTCTCTCTCTCTTTCTCTCTCTCTCTCCCTCTCCCTTCCTCTCTTAAGTCAATAAAAAAATATATTTTTTTAAATAAAAAAGGACGTTCCTATTTTTTTTAAGTGGTGATTCAAGGCTTTTACTTTCTGATGGTCAGATTAGTTACTCTCATATACATTCATTTATTAATTGAGTAAACATTCATTAAGCATCTACAAAGCACTTCAGGGGAGGGGGCAGCCCAGAAGTGTGTTTTTCCAAAGGACTAGGGAGGGAATTATTTTTAATGAAAAGAGGTCATAGGAGGGATAAATGGTGATGGACAGAGACTTGACTTGGGATGGTGAACGTACAATACAGTGTACAGATGACGTGTTGTAGAATTGTGCACCTGAAACCTGTATAATTTTGTCACCCAAGGTCACCCCAATAAATTCAATACAAATAAAAATATTTCATCCTAGAAAAAAGAAAAATTTTATAAAAATAAATTTAAAATGATATATGCTATGTACGTATTGTCAAACGAACTCAAAGAGTCAGGACTCTTTCCGCCGTCTTGCAGCCTATGGAAGCCTGCTGGGAACAGGACTTCTATAAAGGCAAATATGTCTGGAAGGCCATTTTCTTCTGGCTATAAGCAGGGTCTCTGGGAGCACACAACTCTTCTTAAAATTGAAGGTGTTTAACCTAGAGATGAAACTGAATTCTACCTAGGCAAGAGATGTGCTTATGGGTGTACAAGGCATAGAACTACACAGTGACACCTGGTGGCAAAGGGAACAACGCCAGAGGAAGCTGGAGAAACAGCTTGTGCTCATGGGAACAGTGGTTCCTGGCAAATTCCTAGTCAATCTTCCTGCTAAGGCCATTGGGTACAGAATCCATGTAATGCTGTGCCCCGTAAGGATTTAGACTTATTGAAAAGTAAATAGGTAAAAGTGGATTTTATCCTTTTGTAAAAAAAAAAAAAGAAAGGAGAGTCTTTGGCTAGAAATGATGATTTATTAAGGGTCTTAGGGTTTGCCAATCATAAATACAACTAGGCAATACCCAGAGTTGTCTGAAGAAGAAAGAAAAGCCTAGTGTTCCTAAAGTAAAAAATATATTCTTGAGAAGAAGCAATCCTGCATTCTTAGCCTCTGAGTTGGTAATCCTCTAGGTGACTGGTAGTCTGGATAATAAATGTCAGGTGGTCTGGTTATGTGAACATTCTTTCCTTAGTTTTTCAGGGGTAATCAGGGATTTATCTGGAGGTCTTATGTGTATCCAGGCTTTGATGCAAGACCAGAAAGTTCAAAAATTAAGTTCCCAGGCTAGTTAAAGCAAGAATAGAATCATTTCCTCATGCCTCAACCTACTTTATTTTAGTAATTTAGCAGCTTGACTATAGTGACTTCATTGTATTTCTTCACATCTACATTTTTCAACAACTAGCTTTTTTAAATATATTTTTATTGATTTCAGAGAGAGAGAGGGAGAGGGAGGGAGGGAGAGAGAGAGAAACATCAGTGATGAGAGAGAATCACTGATCAGCTGCCTCCTGCATGCCCCCCACTGGGGATCCAGCCTGGGCATATGCCCTGACCGGGAATCAAACCTTGACCTCCTGGTTCATAGGTTGATACTCAACCACTGAGCCAGCTGGCCAGGCTCAGCAACTAGTTTTGAAATAAAAATCTGATAATGGCCTAAAACAATGCCTAGCACATGGTATGGGCTTGATAAAAATTTGTTGAATGAAAGGAAAGGAACCCTAGGCTATAGAGAACCTACCAG